GCCAGTGAAAAAAACAAACCGTTTATCACATTCAAATATGCGTGTGAAATTCGATGACACGTACAAAATAGTTTACCGACCGCGGTGTAAAAATTGAATATTTGCATTATCCATCTTAACCTATAAAATACAGTTTTCAACCTTTCTAGGGGGCTCGGGACTTATTCATAGCAAGTCGTAACCCAGCAATTAGCTTGAGTGCAGAGAACATCTGACTTGCTAAATTAGTAAATAAACGATTATATAGCCTAAACGTCTGCCCACGACTTGTCTTTGTTTTTAACCACAAAACTATACCATTTGGTTAAAGTGATATGCCCACCACGGGTATCGAAACCAGAACTTTAGCTCTATAAGCCTTCAGTCACTGAGAGGCTGTTCGTGACCCTTTCTCACGAGCCGACGACCCATAGGTTGAGAAACGCTGTTATAAACACGCTAAATCAGTTTTCCCAGGCTAGCTTTTATTTTAAAAGTCAGATAACCCACTTGGCGACACCTTTACTATTATTAAGTAATGAAGTTATTAATAAACTGTTAAAATCATGACCTAAGAAATTTACATAAAGACTGAAAAACACTTAGTGGAGCTTATTGTTTTTTAGTGTCCTTTCCTGACTAAACATATTGGTTATTTCGAATTAACGTTTTCGTAGCACTTGTTCTACTAAACTCTCGACTCAGAGTGTTCTCAAACACTTACAAAATCATAGTCATAGCTGAAGTTGCAGGCCCCCCATGAAATATTTAATTAAACAAAAGAAATTAGCTGTGTACCTCACAATTATCATCTTACATGATATCAACCCAATTTTTAAAAGCTTGGGTACAGAAGTTGAAAAGTTCAAGTAAACATGTTTACAAGCTGCATTCACTTGACTCTCAAATTACTAACTTGTTTCTAAACTGTTCAACAGAGGTGGAGTTCACATTCTTTGTGCGAGTCATCTGTTATTAAAACCCTCCGTGTATACGGGCTTGGTCATTTTTATCAACCTTGTAATCACCATGAAACCATATGTATCATAACTCTGAATATGCTATATTTTTATAAAAATATGGCAAGCTTTCAAAAAACATAAGTGTTATATACCAAAAAATCAGAGTTTTTAATAAAGTATTTTTACTGAAGATTTGTCTGAATTTACGAAGCCTTTACTGAATCAATCTGAGTGAAAAATTATTTTCATGCTAAGAATAAAGGTGTTTTTTCATCTTAAAGTTTCATTTTTCAATTTTATGGCCCCTAGAACGTTCTAAATGAACATAAAGTTTTTTTATTATTAAAACTTTACGTTTTATCTGTTATTAGCTCTACCCTAACAGTAAAGGCTCGGTCAATATGACCGACCTTGTAATCACCATGTAAAAAACAACAAAAAACACGAAATAAATATAAATTACCTTCTTTTGTTCCTTTCTAGAATGACTGCATATTGTAAAAGACAATTACAAATAATTATTCTTGTATGTGTGTCTAGCTGTTGTTTGGTCATGAAAGATTGGGAACACGCTGTAATTCTACGTTCCTCCTTGACTATTGTTTAATTAATTCCTTGATGTCCGATGAAGCCCACAATATTATCCAATACCACACAATCCGGTTACCACGAAAAACCTATATTTGCAAACTTACAACTATAGGTTGTTGCATCCGTGAGTGGTACTTTGCTGGCCATGTCCATGAGTGTAAAACGCAGATTTTTTCTGTTTTTTACTCATAAAATCTATCATACGATTTGAACATGTAGTCTTGTTCTCACAAACAGTTTTATAGTTGCCGATAAAATATACAGTACTAAATTTATTTTTACATAAATACACTTTTTAAATAAAACTAACACAGTATCTAGCTACTGGTTCACCCAGTAGTAGGTGGCAGTAGTTATAACAAGTTTACTAGATTTAATGGTGAGAGGTACTTAGGTCTATGTTTGTCATGTATGATACAGTTTTCAGTGTGCTCAGTATGATATTTTAAGCAGTCTGTCTGACAACATGGGGATGTTTATGTAATAGTGTAGAAATGTTGTGTTTGTGGTTCTAAGGACACTGTATACTTAAGTGATTATTGAATTTTGTATTGTCTGTAGTTTAATTATTTGTATTTTAGCTACATTTAACCATGGATGTCTTTCATTGAACGTATATATATTGTGTATTTTTTAAGAATGTTTCCTGTTGTTGCACCCCTGGTGTTGCCAGTCAGACGTCGGACATAATTTGCTCTTTTGCTATATTTTATTTGTAATTTCATTCACGTGTTTAGTCCAATTTAGTTTGGAATCACAGGTTAAACCCAGGAATTTGGCTGATGTGGCTACCCGGAGAAGGGTTCCATTGTGGTATAATTTTGAAGGTTATCTACATGTCTTAATATATTTTGTAAATAATATGACTTGTGTTTTTGGAGCATTTGTTCTCATTCTCCGTGTGTTACAGAAATTTTGTTTGGTTTAGTCATGGCTGTAGAGAAAATTTATTCTTCTTGATGGTCTTTTGGTGATATTTTAGAATTGGAAGGGTCGCGTGTAATGTTGACCTCTTCCTCCCTCCTTGACGATTGTTTTGTTTACATTTTATGTTTTTCCGTGAAAATACTAGTGTAATTACAACACGAGGATCTGTGATTGTGCCAAGATTCCCGGGCACTAACTCTGGCCCCTAAGAAGGCCCTGTCCTTGTAGGTAATTACAGTAATATTTAATACGATGAATACATTTTCTCTTCATTTCCTTCATCTGGATTCGGTCCATGGAGGGTCGGGTTCAGCGTTGCCCTCTTCTTCCCTCTCGGAAATTATTTTGTTTGCACTGTTACTGAATCCTAGGTAATAACCCCTATTATGTTGTTCCATACTCATAGTATGTTGAATTTTTTTCCATTCTTCGCAGTTTCAATTAACATACCCTTTTCGTGCCAATGTCCAATTCGTGGAGTAACGTAAACTAGTTTCACTTATCGCACTATTAATCCGTGTTCACAATACGGTTCCGCTTAGCAGTCATATACACACACACAATCCTGGAAAGCAGTGCTACATCATACATGATGATGATAATAACCCTAAGTCTCTCTCCTCACTCAATGAAAAAGTCCATCTCCACTAAACCCTGGAATTAAGTATCACATGTGTATTTAAAAGGGTTTTTATATGTGATAATTATTTCACATGAAAAAAGTGACTTTTTGCTCTGGAACTGTTTGCCAGTGTATACGACCAAATGAAGATAAACAGTAAAACAGTACTAAATGCTACAGACAGTCTATTCATGGACACGGCTCTGGGGAGGGAAGTAAAATCAGTGTTTCCACGAAGTTTTCTATATTAGTGTTCAAGCCCTGATTTATTGAATAACTTCGTAGCATGTCGCAGTTTATAAACAACAGTCAAGAAGGGAGGAAGAGGTCTAGATTGAACCTGACCTCCCAGGTCGCACACAACGACAACATGAGGGTTCGACTTTCTGGTTTATATCACTGTAAAGTAAGAAGATTGGATAATGTAATTTTCGATTATATCTTGGGAATATTTATACTAAACGCGTAGTTTTTGTTCAACTTAGAGGCTCATACAAGGAGAGAAAACTAAAATAAGCAATTAGGAGCAAGAAATGTCACGTGATACAGAGAAGATTGAGAATTTTATTTTGAAGTTAAGAAATAAAAAACTTAGAGAGTATAAGAATGTGAATAAAACTGTTTTGATGTCGAGTATATTGACGTACACTGATAGCAAAGAATTCTAAGTTTTTAATAAGGCTCTGTAAAATATGACATACCACTTTGACCTACCCGTATCCTTATAACCAGTAGTCATGGGCTGAAAACAGGCATGAGTAAACAAAGGTTTTTCCAAGAAATGTATGTGACTGAATAACGTAGCTTGTTAGCCGCTACATCTACTTTCACTCATTGCTCTTTTCAGTACAGTACAATATTGATTGTATTTATATGTACTTGTTACCGTAAGTAAAATCAAAGTTTCATCGAAAATAGCAGAAAAAAATACCGTCAATGAACATGAAAGGTTAGTTTATAACATGGAAAATTTAAACTTTATAACGAACAAAATTAACAACACGCAGAGAAAAAGATACAAATTGCAGTGTGAAGTTTATAGCTAATTCTGTATGTAGTTAGCCCAGCTCTTATTACACATCTCAATATGCACAAGAGTCTACCTACAATATATATTATCAATTACCTGTGTATAGATATGAATTGGAACACGATGGAGGTGAATCGTTTTGCACCAGTAAAACCGTAAGTACGTTTAGTTAGGCCTATAACTGTTCTGTTATTCAAAACTGACGTTCTAATATATTTAACATTTAAGCGCTAATAAAAGAGTATTTGAAATAAATGTGACACGTGTAATAGTAGTAACTTGCACACACAAAAGCAACAGATATGCATGTTTATGTAAAACCTCTTTATACATTCAGGTTCACCAGGAAACTAGTTTAAATTTATAACTTTCGTTTTGTCATTTTTTTTCAGGGTTTAAGATAGAATTATGAATATTAAATTTTTAACTTCAAAAATCATAATTTTCCAAATCATTTTTAACTATACTTACTCTATCACTTCATTTGGTCTATTTAATAAAAAGTATCATCATATATGATTTTTTTATGGTGTGAACACCTTTTCCAAGCTGGCGAAGCATGATTATAATAATTTTTCGCCAGCCTGGAAAAGGCGTTCACACCAATACAGTTGTTGAAACAAATGACTTTGTAAATATCATTCCGACCACTACTGTGTTTGTTGTGACCCATCCGGCCTGATTAGCTCTGGATTGAAAGAAATGCGTCCACAGTAATGAATATGACGAACACAATGTAGTTGAAATACTATTATTATACGCTCTTCTAATTCTTGGAAATTCCCAAGAAATTTGAAAAAGAATGTTATGTTAAAAACATATATAATTTTAATTGGCTTAAAACCTTTGTTTATATATAAATATGTTGTTTTATAATATTATAACTTACCTTATTCGAAGGCCGGGCAATAGATGTGTCAGCCGTATGAGATGAAAGAGAAATGCCAAGACCAAGGTGGGTGGCCGCCAAAGGAGTTAGTCTAACGAGGATTGTAAGTAGTTTTAATCTATACAGTATAAGGACTTTAATAAGGAATAAAAGTAGTTTTAGTTTATAAAGTACTGGCAGTTTGAATAAAAAGTAAAAGTGGTTTTAATTTATACAGTACGATGGGTTTAATCTGATAAGGATTACAAACGTTTAGCTTCACCAACAGTCTCCGCAGGTGTATAATAAATACACCAGACGTGAACAACGAGCAATCGGCACACGATCTTTGTAACGGGAAAAAAATGTAATTCTGAAATTAGGTCTAAAAATAACTTTGAGATTAATTTTAGGATAGTATCACGTCTCGTCTACGAATTATAAACTCTTTTATTCTATACAATACAAGGAGTAAAAATTTATTTTAATTTAGTATTTCAATCTTGATATTTTAGTTTATCACACACTTCTTTAACTATGTACCGAAACACTTTGGTTCAAAATGTCAAGACTGTTTAGTATCTTTGTTTTTATTGTGTGTGGACTATCAAATACTTCGGCTAATTTTACAGTTTATAGAGGAAAAAAACTTTTCAAATCAACAAGTTTGATTTAATAATTTTTTTAATAACAAATTTAAATAGAAAGTGCACTAATGAGATGACAGGTATGGCAGAATGAACATATTTTCAGATGGTGTTCAGACATATTCAACTTTAGGCTAGTGTACAATACATGTTTTCAACCCTGTAGTATTTTACTGTATGCACATTAATACTAAAATATTTGTTTATACAATAGTAGGAGTTTAATCTAAAACAAATTATGATTGGTTTACACAATGCCACGGATTCAGTCTAAAACTAAAAGGGTAAAACTTAGGTTTTAGTTCACACATTGCTAAGAATTTGGTCTACTAACACGTTCATTCACACACAGTAAAATATTTTCATCGGCATGATAAGAACTGACACACACACACACACAAAGTTTTTCAACCTAAGGTTAAGAAAAAACAAACTCAGCTTTCATAAGATAGAATTAACATACGAACATGGAAGCATTGGGTCTTTCAAGACTGCCCTTGTACACCCAGACATAAGGAAAGAACATTTAAGCCCCTTTATTTTTTTAGGGAAATACTAATTCTTCACTTGAACTATTCTAATGTGCCGGCCCTAGTTCTGATAACAACACATGGTTCCATTATTTTTGGCAGTTTGAATTTGAAAAAGTTATTATCATAAAAATTGTATAGAATTATCTTATCACACAGTTATGACTCCTGTAACACTAACGAACAGATTTCCATAATATTTTAAGCATTGCTTCTAGTGCTAGTTGTAGTAGACTACTGTTTCGTAACATATAACTAAGGTAGTAGTAGTAATAATAGTTCTAAAGTATGACTAACAAACAATTTTAACTAATACTGTAATATAATAAAATTAAAATATCTTAAACAAAGGACTGAGGCAATCAACATTAGATCGCTAACCTATAACTGAGCATCCTTATGACGCTGCCTTGGTCTTAACAACTTTGAATTGTTTTGTTTAAAATAAAATTTGAAGCCATTTTGTAATTACACTTTTACATCATATCTTAAAAATAAAAAGAAGATGCCTACAAGTTACAACTAACTTAGTAGGTACTAATATATTGACAGTTACAGCTTACAAGTTACAGTATTTTACTGACCAGTAAAATATTTACTCGAATCCGTCAAAAATTTTAGGTTCCTTACTAAATTACTTAGTTCATAGTTGTGCTAGTCATTGGTAGCATTAGCACTAAGACAAACTAGAACTTAGAAATAGAAATACAATTATTATATTAGCTTAATAAAACATGTTAGAGATATAAAGAGAACACTTACAAAACCATGCGTAATTATTTGATTTATATAACAACCGACTGATACGAAAAAAAGTTATTAGAATAGTAGTACAAAAACGGAGTTTGAAAGTCCCTAGAGTTAAAAGTCAAAACTCGTAACAATACTCCTTCCTTTATTACTGTCTGCTCAGAGTTTAGACCAAACGGGTGTGTCTCCTTCTGCTACCAAGCTATCAAAGCGCCCTCTGCTACTACTTTACAGAAAAGGTCGAAACTAGTATATGATTCCTTATCTATATAATAAATGAAGACCTCCTTTTGTTTTTAGTTTAAGATTAAAACTGTTTATAAAGATTCAGATCTCAGTCAAATATCCTACTAAGTATTTCTTAACTATAGATTCTGACACTTTCTTCTTCAATATTATCATTTATCTTGTTATTTCATTATTTACGGATAAACATGTATTTTAATAAAAAAACATTTTATAATACATAAAAACGCTCAGACACTGTGGACTTTTTTTTTCACAAGTAGTAACGAAATATTGTTTTGATTAATCAGCAGGAGGGATTCCAGCTAAAAGGGCTACTTTTATATCACATATAAGTTACACTCAGAAAAAAAAAAAAAAAAAAACAATTATTTAAAGCATAATCACATTTAAGCTGTAAGGATGAGGCTGCAAAGCGCTAAATTTCTCCTTTTTCAGTACATTTTACATGTAAATGAGTAAATGAAAGATAAATTATATTGAATAGAATACCTGTGTTCGTAAAAATGTAACGTTTCACAGATTGCATTCAAGTTTCTAATAAACATTACTTATTGGCAAGGTTTTCAATGCTCACCAAATAAATATCAGGAGAAATGTTAAACAATGATATTTAGTCTGCAAGAAATAGGAACTGTTGTAATTAATTAATGATTCAATTTTCTAATTATTAAATAGATGAACTAATGTATATAATGCAACTTTGGCAGAGGACGATTGGTTTGTTTTGAATTTCATGAAAAGCTACATAAGGGTTGTCTGCGCTAGCCGTCCCTAATTTAGCAGTGAAAGAAGAGAGAAAGTAGCTAGTCACTACCCACCGCCAACTCTTGGACTACTGTTTTACCAACGAATAGTAGGATTGACCGAAACATTATAATGCCCTTACGGCTGAAAGGGCGAGCATGTTTGGTGAGACGAGGATTTGAACCCGCGACCCTCAGATTATGAGTCAAGTGCCCTAACTACCTATTTCTTCACTATTAGTCTATAACAACAGATATTAATAATTTTCCAAATAATAGTTCCAAAACCATTGACCTAAATCACTCTTTAAAAAAAAATGGCTTTCAATAAAGTTTTTTAAAAATTATTTTAATTTATGCAACTTACAAGATTTAAATGTATTTCTTCAAGTCGCATATGATATACATCTGAAAGTAATTGCTACAGCAGATCATGAAGCATGTTACAAACGCACAAACAAACAAAATAATTTTAAACACTTTAAATAAAGATAACTTATTATTCACTAAAGCAAATTCTTCTTTATTGTAGGAAATTCAGTTATTTTCTTTTGGTAAAAAAAAAACTTTTGTTACTTAGGTCCATTAGTGATGAAGTTGTCACTAATACCAATAAAATTTACAATAAGATACTGGTTCATGTCCTAAACACTTATATTCTTTTAGAAAAATCAGGTTTTTTGTTTTGTCACTAACATAGAAGTAGTGCATTGAGTTACAGAGTTCTGGTTTTAACGAAACTATCAGGATGAAAGATATAAGCAATAATTAAAAGTTAAGTTAATTTCAGTTACAATTAATATTACAATATAAATTATGCTTTTATAGAAATTATCAGAAAACCAAACTTAAAAGAGTAAACTCAAATTTCATCTGATTGTTAACAAAAATAATTGTTTCAGAATTTTCAAACAGAAGTACACAAAGTGCTCTCTGTGAGCTGATAGACAAGAGCACTTACTGCCAACACTTTGGCTACCCATGTCTGACAAGATAGTGGATTTTATCATCACTATTATAGCACAACCATGGCCCAAAAAAGTGTGGCAATGGGCCATGAATCCATCGATCCACAGCCCAAGCATGCTAAAACTTAGGAGTAGCCAACAGAAACAAAGACATTAATTGTTCGGGTACTATTTGAACAATTCAATATATTGTTACATAAGGGAAGTATAATATCTGTAAATTGTATTTTATCTGTATACCAATATTAACCATTTTTAGCATTAATATTAATCTGTCATAAAAACGTAAAAAAATTACAAAGTTACGTTTTATGTTCTAATACTTGCTCTATACAATTTACAGATGTATAATTAATATTCATATACGCTGTTACAGTAAGTTAAGGATTTTAGCTACAAATGACATATTTCAGTTTGTATGATGAGATTCAAACTTTAAGTGATAAAATATATATTTTTAATCATCTATTTCAAAATATTGTTTTCAATATTGCATTTATTTATTTAAGTTTATAAAAATATACAGCTTGTACGAGTTTTATATTACTGATTGATACAAAAATTGGTTTGAAAAGTCTTATACATTCTGCTTTGTCAAATAAAAAGTTATTATAATTCTCTATGAAAGTAATCATATATTAAGCTGTCCAATAAAAAAAATTACTACATATTCTATGATTAAAAGGCTGTTAAAGTACCGTAATGTATATATCTGTACAAGTTTTAGTCCTTGAAATATTACCCTTTGGAGGCAGTGAAAACCGAAAATTTGTCCTTAAATATTACCCTTTGAAACAGTGAAAGTTGGAAGTTTGTCCTTGAAATATTATCCTCTGGTAGCAGTGGAGGCTGGAAATTTGTCCTTAAAATAATACCCTAATGAAACATGTGAAAGCTGGAAATTTATTGTTAAATATTACCCTTTGGAGGCAGTGGAAACCGAAAATTTGTCCATAAAATATTACCCTTTGAAAACAGTGAAAGTTGGAAGTTTGTCCTTGAAATATTACCCTTTGGAGGCAATGGAAGCTGGAAATTTGTCCTTGAAATTTTACCCTTTGAAAGCAGTGAATGTTGAAAGTTTGTCCTTGAAATATTATCCTCTGGTAGCAATGGAAGCTGGAAATTCGTCAGATTAATTTTTTCTTCTTTGTATGTAAAATATAGAAAACTATTTTCCCAGAAGATTATTTTTTCTATCACATTTACCAAACATGCTCTAAAAATGAAGTCATTTTAATGTCCTTTATAATTTAGTACTGTTTTATTCTCTACTACCTTTGATAACAGCAACATATAAAAGAATAATTAGGACTTATACTACTGTAAAAAAAAAAAAAAGACAACAAACCAGAGTATCATAATATTAACAAGTCTTTTACAACCCTAAACTGATTACACACAGTCAAGATGTAACAAGAAATAACTAGTCCTCAATACACTGAACTTATTTGAGTCAAACAATAATGTAAGAATCACAAAAAACATAATTTAACTTTTGTAAGCAAACAGAACAAAACAGATGTTCCAGCAGTGTGAAAAGTGTGGAGTTTCTGTCTGTGAAAGAGCCCGAAGCTAGTTAAATTGTTTGTTGTTTTTTTTATTGGTGTACTGCTTTAGTTATAGAATGGTGAAATTACCAATTATCATTATATCCAGGTCATTCCAATTGTTATATGTGTAATATGATTTCATTAAAAAAACTGTGTGCTTGGAATCTCATATCTTCTTTTATTTTAACTCGGATGTCGAGGAAGCCTCAGCTGAAAATTAGAGGTTTTAATGTTTATAAGAGCATTCTGAGCAACTGTATTTGATTCAGAAACTGTAAACACATGAAACCTGGAAATAAAAATCACATCATGTTCTATAGGAAGAGGAGATTCTGATATTGTGTTCAATTAGTTCCAGAAACTTCTCTATTTCACAACATTTCACACCATCTGGAGGAAGCCTTCCAATATAGTTTCCTACATAGTTAAAAAAAAAAAAAAAAAAACGAAACAAGGAATAAAAATGCATTTTTGGACTAATAGTTATTAAAAAATTTCTACAATTCATACAATTATGAACTACATACTTGGTGTAGTGACTTGAACAAGGATTTTGAACTAATTTTTGGACTAATAGTTATTAAAAAATTTCAACAATTCATACAATTATGAACTTCGTACTTAGTGTAGTGACTAGAACAAGGATTTTGAACTAATTTTTGGACTAATAGTTATTAAAAAATTTCTACAATTCATACAATTATGAACTATAATTCAATTATGTTCAATTATGAACTATAAGGAAAATATAAAATTTTTAATCTATCCAAACTTATTTTGGTAAGAAATATTTAAAAAATAAAACTGCAGTCACATTATCCTCCATGACTTAATACTTAGTCTTTAAAGTTAGTAGCTTGTTTCTTTGTTTGTTTGACTCGTAAATTTGTACAAAACTACATAAGGGCTATATCTATGCTAGCTCTTCATAATTTGATAGTCAGTAGCACCCACTGCAAACGTTTGTGCTACTGATACGTGGGGGGTTGCTCCCCTCACACTACTTTGCCCCCCCCCCAGAAAACTTTCTGCAGATGTCCACGCTACTGTAATTTTAAAAATTGGATTTGACCATGATAGTTATAATGCACCCATGAAATGCAAACAGATAGTTTCACTTTCATAAAATGTGAAAAAACCAGGATTATCCATTAATTATTTCCCACTGATAAAGGAAATAGGTACCTCCTACTTTCACAAGTGCTTGTGAATCTCTGTCTACAGATGTAATTACGCTTATCCAGTTCCTTCCCTTATTCTTCTGACTTTAGGTGGTTTATTATTTGGGGGGGGGGCATGTTCCTATTGCCTCCTGGTGCATTTGAAAATTTATGATGGGTCTAACTTTTGTGAAATTATAAATCCACCGAACTTCTGTACAAGTGGAGTTCCAATAAGAGCTAGGAACATCTGAAGAAGTTAAATATCATGTTGATAAATGAACAAATAACAACACATAAGCACAAAAAATAAATTCTTTCCACCTTTCATCTTCATAGTCTCTTAAAACACAGTTCCTTCTATCTAAACTATATTTGTAGGTCAGTCCTCCACGATTTTCTCCCAAAGTGTTACTTTGAAGAAGGAATTTATTCATCGTAAAGACTGTCTAAACCATCTGTAATAGAATAACAAAACACAAGTTTTAAACATTAATATTCTCTCCACTAGATGGGGGTTCTTAAAGTATTCTTTTTGCTCACTGTACAACCAAGGGCAACAAAATAATCAAAAATAAATATCCTCAAGATTAATCTTCGCACCAGCAGGTAAATTCTTAACGTAATTTATTGGTCTAATAAAAAAATTATATATTTTTGACAAGGAAATAATTAAGATTTAGTCTTGAACATTACTCTTTTCCATCACTAATTGGATAATTAATTATCCCTGTAAAGATAACTTTAGTAATTAAAAATTAACCAGTAATAAATAAAAGGTAGTTAACTAGCATTACTGCATTAGGAAAATAAATTTTATTTCACATTCTAACCTTCTTATTTTTGAGTTTTTGGAAAGTCTAGCTTCATAGCCAGTTCAAGTACTTGGAAACTTTTAATGTAGTACAGAGAAAAACATGTTTTTCATTCTAAAACTGTTTAAATATTGTTTTAGATACCAATACTTGCAAGTTGTTGAGCTACAGGTGTCTCGACATAGCACTGGGATCCAAAAATTAGTGAAGATGAGGATGATGGAACAGTTTCACCTTCTTTTGTTGCTTCCTACTCATCCTCCAACCGAAGCTCAGACCTAAAGTTGACATCTGATTACCGAGGTCTGTCAATCTATTTATTCCTGGATTCTGATATAAAAGTTAAAATAAAATTAGTTGACAAAACTCGGTTTCATTTGTATAATTGAAATATCTAATTATTTCTCAGATAAAAAAGATTTTTAGAAAGTAGGAAATATTTCTTAAATCATGGCATCTAATTTCTGATCAATAATTTTTTGAAGATTCATACTAAAAGTGATTTCCAAAAACACACGCTTAAACATATGAAGAAGAAAAAACCTAAGAGTTTTGGTTCATTTACAGTTGCTATAATTTCTGTTCATAAAAATTTACACAATAAGATAGCCGTTTAAAATATAATATACATAACGACTGAGAAACTAACATTTTCCAAGCAAACCATAAAAGAATGTTTAAACACAAAATAAAACTGCACTGGTAGAAACCTGATAAAGCCATATTCTAACATCTATGTTAATTTTTATAACCTCAATATCTTTATTCAATTTCTGTTCACTGACTGAACATAGGCTTTTGAATAATCTGGTTTCAAATACATCATTGTAACTGCTGTAACAGAAGGCTATTACAACAGGCCAACATAACATTTTTTACACAAAGTGACACTGATATTATTTGTTATCAATAATAATCATTAAATAACACCCCCCACCCCCACATAAAAAAAAAGCACTAAACAAGTTTTGAGATGACAAAATTATATTTAAGTTAATAAATTCCAGCTGTGAGGAAATAATCAAGTATCCAAACTTCATCACAGTTACATCAGCTTTCTGAAGCTTGATATTCTTTGACGTATCGATGTTATATTTGGTTTACTAGAATCTGAGAGTTGATTGCCAACCATCATGAAATTCTGACCCCAGTGATGTACGTTTACTAATATATTTATAAAAACTTAATAATAAAATAATAATTTAAATCACAACTTTCTTCACTGCCAGATTACAGGTTTCCAGTAATAACAGTGTATGAAAAACATTCAAACTATAACTTGTTCGTTCCATTCCACAGCAGAAAAATCCTTTCTGTCAATACAAGTGCTTATCTGGCTCACCAAACTACAACATACAATCTTACTTCAAGCTTTATTTAAAACAGTTAACGCCTGTCTCATAAATGATTGATATGAACAGTTTCACAATGTTATATGTTGTAACCTTACCGATCTGATGAGCTCTAATATTGAACGAGAGGTCTTGTCAGGAGTGGCGTACAAGAAAACAAAGTATAGTTGGGACTTGTCAGGAGCGCGTACAAGAAAACAAAGTATAGTTGGGACTTGTCAGGAGCAGCGTACAAGAAAACAAAGTATAGTTGGGACTTGTCAGGAGCAGCGTACAAGAAAACAAAGTATAGTTGGGACTTGTCAGGAGCAGCGTACAAGAAAACAAAGTATAGTTGGGACTTGTCAGGAGCAGCGTACAAGAAAACAAAGTATAGTTGAGACTTGTCAGGAGCGGCGTACAAGAAAACAAAGTATAGTTGAAATGATACTTGATACTCTTCTTACTAGTAACCTATAGTGGGCTGGTAAGTAATGATGTGATTTATTTCTATAAACATAAATAAAATCACAACCTACATCTCCAGAATGTAACTTTATTAGCTCAATACTTCACTATTACAGCTTTGTCAAGAGCTTTCGATGTCCTATAAGTTCACTAACCTAGATTTAACTGGATTGGTGAACTTGTACGATATCGATAGCTCCTGACAAAGCTGTAATAGTGAAATATTAAGCTAATAAAGTTACATTCTGGAGATGTAGGTCGTGATTTTATTTACATTTATAGAAATGTCTCATAATAAACTCCAGTTTGCGTTAAATAAATTTAAGAGTAATAATGATGTGATTTAAATTATTATCAGTCTTATTATGATATTACATCACACACCATTACAACTAAAAGTAATAATCCACAAGCTAAGGCATTCTAAGTTTATAAGATTTATGCATATTTGCAATAAAAAAAACATACTCAATTTAATTTCGCAAAGACATTAGAAAACTTGAATTTTAAGAATTTTTTCATTAAACGTCACTATAGCATTATAATAAAGTATCTTATTAAGTTAAAACCTAGATTATTATCTCATAATTGAATTTTTAACATCCAAGCTAATTAAATAAAGACCTTGGCAACAACTTCGTTTTTCTGTCAACCGAGATTAGATAGCTTTCATAGACTCCACACAATTTTATTTCAACAAGTACGTTTTAGTGCTGTCTTTATGTCCATCAGACTGTGATCTATTTATAATTATCACCGGTTCTTCTGCTTGACACACATTTTCATCATAATTGACTAAGCCAAGATTTTATTTATTTAGTAACACCATGTTGGCTGATTTGTACCAGCAGAGGGAATAAGAAACATACAGTTCAGTAATATAATTACATAAAAATTACAAAATCGGCATTAATTTATTTAATTGTCTTTTGAAAAATGTTTTGTGCTTCTCAATATATTTTTATAAATTATTATAAGTCATATTTTCACTAAAAATGTTTTGTGCTTCTCAACATATTTTTATAAATTATTATAAGTCATATTTTCACTAAAAATGTTTTATAGAAAAGTCAAGTGCAACTTATAATAAAATACTAGTTTGTGTTTAAGATAAGTGTTCTTGAATGATGCCATATTTATCAATGTATTAATAGCTATTGTAATCAAATACTTATTTTACAAAATGTTCTTTCATTTTATTCAATTATGCCTGAAAAATTTTTAAATATTTTTGAAAGAATAAAATGTTTCGAATGAAAACAAAAATAGATAATATAAAATTGGATGAGGATATCTTAGGGGGAAATATGTCTATTAAAACATTTATTTTATTTTTTAACAGTGTGTAACTTATGTTTTAAAATGTAGTTAGAAATATCTATTTCATATACTTTAAAAATATGTTGCAAATGATGGTTTACTTTTCAAATGATATAAACTTCAAAACTAAGTTCACAATCAATCTTAATGTACCTAGTACATTTTTAATTAGAAAAAAAAACTTTAAACTATTTGACATAACTCATGCTTCAGATTATCACCAAATAAACGTTTTAGTGAGGATGTAGTTTCTTCTTTCATTATCTGTTGGGATTATCTAATATTTAAAAGTTAGCCAAGATATACTTGTACAACAAATAAAGACAAATTTCTGTATGTTCTTGAATTAAAGTAGTTATATCTAGTTTAGAGTTAAGTGAAAAAAAAAATTAAATAACTTGAGATATCAAGTTTCGTATAAAAATACTAGCTGATAAGCTTTCAGCATTTTGAGCCATGGATGTTCAAATAAAAAATGTTATCACTGCATAAATCTGCTTCTATATTTACCAACAAATACATAGGAACAGGCTATCTACCACAGAGGATCGAATCCCATTTTTTATCATTGTAAATTAAATGCTATGTAAACACATACCTTAATTTTTTTAATTCGATAGAATGGATCACCAGAGACCTCAAAATTAGCACTACTCCATTGACAAGAATCAGCTCCTAGAACACACAGGTCCTCTTGGATACTGTTCTTGCTAGAATTTGGTGAAGAAAAGAAGCCAACATAATCGTTGAAGAAAAAAGACTGCAAATAAAATAACTCAGTTATCATACACATTTTAAAACTCTAAAGTCAAAACTGTCATTAAACAACAATATTTATAAATTTCTAATTCATTGCAATACCTTAAACTAAACATCAACCTGATCAAACCTTCTTAGTCCTACCTCTAAATCCCTTGCCAACCAAACAATATATCTCAACATTAAATTTAATAACCATACAACAAGTTATCAGTAGGTGTGTAAAAAACATTGACACTGTGAGAAATTATCCGGAAAATCTCTTCAATATTAATTTAAGGATGGCGTTGTTTCAACAAGCAAAGTACTTTAATTTATATAAAAGATATACACTTCTTTACCAAACATACTTGTAAGTTGTATTAATTGTATAATAATGTAACCAACTCACTCAGTTTGACAAGAAAGATGCAATAAAATTATTCATTGTGAGATTTCTATAATCTTGATAATAACAGCTTTAACTTTCTTTGGATACATTACACGGCTAGAACTCAAACTTCAAGTTGATATAAAATATTACCCTGACTCTACTAAGGGGAATAAAACTTGCTCAAATTAAACATTTTTATGCAAAAGCTTTACTGGTAGTGTCGTTTCAACTAATTATGCTTTAACTATATGAAACCGAGGTGTCAATTAGACACACTTATTGCATGCTTTGTTTTGTTGCATTTAGAAAAAAAAATTGTGGATAAATTGTCTGAAACTTCGGAATTGCGTTTTACAAATTATATAGCTTCAGCAAGTAAAATGTTTTAATTTTATATGCGATATTTGTATGAATTTGCAGCTTTCAAATTTTGAAGATTTATTGTGATACATTTTTAAGAAACAATTAAAAATGCTTGACTTTGTTGTAGAATTTAAATACTGATATTTATGCCTCTCTACATTTTTTAAACATTTTCCTACAATGTTTTTATTTTATAAACTGTAAATTTATCGTGTTTTTTTAATTGAAAAAAGGTAGTTACGCTACTCGCCGGTTCTCTACTTTAGCGATGTTTTTTGGCTAAACTGAAGGTCTTAATAGCTTTCGAAAACCTAAGCTGTAGTTACGATAATGTCAAACATATGTTACATTTCTGTATAATAAATACATAAGGAGCGTAGAAATCATACAAACATCAATAAAGAAATTCTACACTGTTGCACTGTTTCCCTCTCTCACTCTCAATGATCCGCCAGGTTTCTTGGTCGTTTAGTAATTCAAACTACCTAATTACTTAATAAGAGTTTTGAGACGACTTGACTGGGTAACGAAAAAACTTTATTATAACTGTACGACATTTTTTCATTACCCATTCAAGCCGTCTCAAAACTTTTATTTTCTTAAGAGTGGGTTCCTCGTTATCAAGTTTTACCTCATTACTCAGTTTACTCTTGGCATACGTCATCTTCGGAGAAGCTCCCCCTGTATTTAAAAAACAAAATGATTAATTAAAATGAGAATAAATCGATAATATTTAAAGACGTTTCTCGAGTAGTTTGTATTTTAACGATAAAAGAGGAATTAATAAGATTAGTAAAACACCTACGGGCTACGGCCCTAAAACGTGAAGCTTCTTTTATTTTTGTCAGGTAATATTATACAACTCACGTAACCTCAGCTCCACAGTTCGGTATGCTAACCACTAAGCCGAGCTCGGGCAAAAGATGTTGTTGTTATTGTTTATTTAGTTTAAAACTTCACAGTGGGCTTACTTCACTCTGTCCACCGCGGGGAATTGAACCCCGGATTTTAGCATTGTAAGTAAGCAAATTTACAGCTAACTCATCGGAGGACTGGCCGAAAGAAGAAGGAAAAAAATTGTTTTTCTCTGAAATCGTCTTCTTCTAGGGCAGACAGAATTAACGTTAAGTAACAGATTTGAATTTTAAACTCTAACTAAACGTAATTGTGAGTAATTACAAACTTAATTATTTCAAACATTTAACTTAAAAGCTTCCTCTACACTTTCGTTCACTTACATGCTACGATGTAATTAGTACAACCAAATATTAGTCCGCCTCTCTTAACTATTATTTAGTGAGTTGTACTTTCTGAAGGTTCATCATAATTTTGGTAAGCCAACCTCGGAAGCTGAGTGTTTCTAATATTGGACAAGCTTACGTAATAACCAAGGATGAGTTGATTTTACAAGTCGGTGAGCGCTGACTGTCATTTCATACAACATTAATCTCACAAAATTACCTTAGGAATACAAAGGTCGTTGCACTATGCATGCGTAGGTAAAGCTTAGTCTTGTGGGATTGTCAATTAAAATTTTTTTAAATCAATTATTTTGCTATATATGATAATAGAGATCTAAATTTTCAAATGTAATGTCATTTTCTATGACTGATACTTATGCCAAATATTTCAAGTAGCAATAAAAATATTACAAATCAAAAATTACAGCTACAGAAACTAAATAATAATACAGCATAGCAAGAGCTCTTGAAATCAACGTTTAGCCGAGGAAAATGTTATATAATGTAATTTTATTAATGGATTTTATACAAGAACAAGCTTCATTGTTGCCTGATCATAGTATTGTTTGCACGCCCACTATTTATTAACAACTGAAAAGGCCTGAAAATAAAAGTGCTAAAATAATTTAATAATTGAAAAAAATTATTAAAAGTTACTATTTCTGTTGGTTTTTTTAGGTTTTTTTTGTTAGTATTTTTAACTCACCGTTATAAATGGCCTAACTGTATTATTTTGGTGTACTGACACAAGTTGCGCTGATTAGCCTTGAATTGTTGAAACTGCAGTCAACAGCAGAGGATGCGATCAATCAAAGGATGTATTATTAGATTACAATTTTCAATTTTACCTTTAGTGAAGAGAAATCTATAATATAATTATTAAAAGTTAGATTAAAGGATATATATATATATATCACAAAGACAAACTGTTTGTAGTCAATGTTCACACAGTTTATACCAATAGATTAAAATAATTTAGGTATTCGTATGGAGATTTTTTTGAATAACGACAAACAGCTAAATGTATCGAGAGTTGGTAAATACTTAAATTAAAATATTCTTAGGAAGATATTTTAATACTAGAAATAAACGACCTTGTATAACACCAAATTGTTGGTTTCCATTAAATAGACACTCAATAACAATGTGGTATTAGAAAGTCGTTTATTTCTAGAATTAAAATATTTTATATACACCAATATGCACAACAGAAATTAAATAATGAGTTAGGGAGATATTGTTACCCTACCGAGGTACCTACACAACATTTACTGTTTTGACTGTATTTGACGCGACCTCGTTATTCTAGTGCAATCATTTATCAGAAGATGGCGCCACAAGCTAGTAAGTACATGTGGTGATTGTACTTTCTTATCTTCACGGCTTCAGTTATTCCTGCTTCTCAAACACGATTTAAAGCCGTCGATAATACACCAAAGGTCGTTTCAAGACCGGTCAGTCCAAACTCTTTTTATCTTTACTTTCCGTCCACACGTAGAAAAGTATGACCATTGATTCTTTACCTGTAACAGAAAAGAAAAAAAAAAGGAAAAATTAGTAAACATCGTATAATATAAAAAAAAGTTTTGTTCTATTCATGAAATTAAAAAAAATAACTTATATTCTTGAAGTTAAAAGTGTTACTAATTTTGTCCCTAATATTCACACAAAGGTTTATATGCGCTAGCCATCTCCGTGTACTGATAGACTAGAAGGAAGGCAGCTAGTCAACAGTACCATCATCAACTCTTGGGTTATTCCAATCGAATATTGTAATTTTATTATCATTCTTATAAACCATCTACGACATCAAAGTGTTTAGCGTAATTTTCTCTTGTTTTTATTTATTTTGTTGGCGGGGGCTGTAACGGTGAAACTTTCAATCAACACTATCATTATTATTATTTATGTATTATTTTACTGCATACAAAATTTGAGTTGCTTAGCTCTATAAATATTTTTATTTGTACAAGCGTGCTATGATTTCAAGAATCATGTATTCCAGCAATAATCTCAGAGAAACAGATTTTTATAAGGGTGTGCACATTCTACATTTCTAGAAACAATACCGTTCAAGCAAATTTTTAAACGTTACAGGTTTATATTTGAGATTTTAGGCTGGGTGTGGCCTAGTGTTTAGTGTTCCAGACTATGAATTCTACAGCGCTTGGTTCGTGTCCCGTTGCCGCAAAATCGCGTTCTGCACGTTATAAGAGTCATAGTCAAATCCCATATTAGATCAAAGTAACCCAACAGTTGAAGGAGGTGGATGTTGTTCACTGTATGCCCTTTCTCTAGTCTATCAATTCAAAACTGAGAAGGTTATGAAAAGGTGGACATATGTAGCTTTGCGAATATCTGAAGTAAACAAACAAACAGTCTTTGGGTTTTTATGTACTTTTTTCTTGTTTTATATATATATATACATGTGTGTGTGTGTTTTCTCTTCACTTTGACCTAACTTAATTTGACCATTGTTCTTAGATAACTAAATATTAACAAAAAGTTTTCATTTTGGGAAAACAAATGCAAAAAGTGATGTCGTATAATATATCTCCAAAAACTGGCAAATTCATGTATATATGCGTTTTCTCTTTTGTACGACATCTTACTCCGATGTTGCCTGGTGAACGTCGAAACATTTTGTTTGTTTTTAAATTCGATGACGAGGAACCTACTTGCTGTTATGTTAAACTTATATTAAAGTTTTTCTTCATTACCCATTCAAGCCGTTTCCAACCATTATTTTGTTTGTTATGGATTTCGCGCAAAGCTACAAGAGGGCTATCTGCGCTAGCCGTCCCTAATTTAGCAGTGTAAGACTAGAGGGAAGGCAGCTAGTCATCACCACCCACCGCCAACTCTTGGGCTACCGAAGAATAGTGGGATTGACCGTCACGTTATAACGCCCCCACGGTTCAAAGGGCAAGTATGTTTGGTGTGAAGGGATGAAACATTTTATGCTAATGGTAATTTTTGGACATTGGTTTTGGTCAAATGATCCTCTACAAGAATCATTTGTTTTTTATGTCGCTCTTCTATAGAGTACTAGAACTGATAATTGTGAGGAAGATCAACAACGGTTTGTAATCGAAGTTGATTCTATTTGTTTATCATCATGATGATAAATGACAATTTTATATGTTACCAACAATGTAGGGGGTATATTCTGGGTAGGGGTAGAAACATTTGAAAACATTATAATATATATATGAATCTTTTGGATGTCGCTAAGTTACCGTAAGCAACTGAAAAACGTAGTCTTTTATAAGGTATTTCTTTTTCTTCTTCATCTTTATCTGGAACGTCGTAGGTAAGCTTGATTAAACGTGAAATATGTAGGTTTAATGCATTTAAAAAAAAGTACCAGAGAAAGATCTAGGAAGTCTCGAGCGCTCGCGTAAGAAAAGTGGCCTCTCCTGAATCAGGAATAAAAAGCAAAAACAAAATCTCTCCTTTTATATCCGATATGGAAGTGATAAGTCATTTAAGAAGCACTCAGTCTTTTGGATTTTAAACATTTCTACGGTGATTTATAGTGTCTTCTTACTTAAATACATGTCATCTTCTATCTAAAGCCAACTTCTATTGGTTAGTCAAATGTTAGAGTTATGCCTTATTTGGCTTTACTAACGATATCTAGTGGTGTAAAATGTCACGAGCACTCCACCAGATGTGTTTGTTTACAAAACCGAACACGGATCTGATGAATAAGCGAACAAATGAATTTGTTTGAATTTCGTGCAAAGTTACAAGAGGGTTGTCTGCGATAGTTGTCACTAATTTAGCAGTGATAAACTAGAGGGAACGGCAGCTAGTCATCGCCACCTACCTCCAACTCTTGGGATACTCTTTTACCAACGAATAGTGGGATTGACAGTCACATTATAACGTCCCCATGCCAGAAAGAGCGAGCATGTTCGGTGACGGGGTTTCGAACCTACGAGCCGAGCGTTCTAACCACCAGGCTTGTGAAGTTAATACTGTCTTGTTAGTGACTCTTCTAGAAATATTAAAAACTTTACAATGGAAACAGTTATTGTTTTCAGGTATCCCCTTTAGTTAAAAGATATCACTTAAGTCTTAAAATATCAGTTTATAAAAGCGGGTGGGTTGTAATATTTCAAAAACTCAAGAGGCGTAAACCTTAGAAACTCGGTTCCCCAAATATTCATATTGGATATGATTAATTCGCCTGATTCGTCGTTTTTTGTTGACGTATGCTCACATTTGAAAGCAGTGCATCTCAAACCTACATTTCTTAGTTTCTCACACCCACCTTAAAGGAGTACAGTCATGCATGACAAAAAAACAAGACATAAGGTTAATTTTCTTGAAACTGTATTATGAGCGTGATTTTCATGATGTTATAGAACATTATCTGAATTAACTTGTGTCGGGGAAAAAAAAAGTTTGTTGTTAAGTACAAATCTACACAATATGGGCTATCTGTACTGTGCCACCACGGGGATCGAATCCAGAATTTTAACTTTATAAACCCTCGAGCTTATCGCTGAGCTACAAGGAGAGGGCGAGGGAAATGGTGTGTTTGTAATTAAGCACAAAGCTACACAATGGGCTATCCTGTGCTCTGCCCACCACGGGTATCGAAACCCGGATTCTAGCGTTGTAAGTCCGCAGACATACCGCTGTGCCACTGGGGGGGCGCGAGGGAAATGAGAAAATGGCGAAGGATGACATCCATTCTGATAGCCGTTTCTCTGCATAAACATGTTATCAGAGAAAAACCCTTGACCTTGAGACATGGGATTATTGTCATAAGGGCGAATTGAATAAAACACACTACGTAATATTCAAATAGTACTTTACTTTGTTGATTAGTAGCAATAATATCGCACCGATTGTACATCACGTTACTATTCTGTAAAAAAAAAGAAAAAAAAAGAGAAATCTGATCTCTCTCTATTCAGGCGTATCATATAAAAAAGAAAAGTCTTGCTGAAACTGAAATGTTAATTTATGGGCAACTAAGTTATTTTTCATTAGTATGTGTTGAACATGGTGAATGAAATACAGAACAATAGAGGGTGTGTATGCCAGTGTTCTAATCTATTTGCTCCAAGCATTCAGGTAGCATCCAAACAACTAAAAACAGAGATAATTGTTCTAATTTGACTAGCTTTCATTTAATTTTAACAAGTGTTAGTTTCCAAGGGCACTATTCTATTGTTTTAACAAGTTAAACTGGTTTGAATATTTACTAGCAACCAGTGCCAATGTAATTGAAAAAATAGTTAACAAGTCAATTTTAATCCAATAGTTTTTTTTTTATGGATAACATAATTAAATGTAGACTTTTTGACGTTAGGCCATGATTTTATGTTTGAAACTGGCGTTCCTGGTAAACGTACATTATATTATTATTAAAACAAGCCAAGGTGAACTAGAATCGTAAGAGTCAAAATATCAAACTTACCGTAAAATTTAACTGCCCAGAAATAACTGGAAATTCGCAAGTACAACATATCTATATTTTTTTTATTACAATTTAGAAAAGGTTTATGTTTTTTGTTGTTGTTTGTTTTTGTTTTTTTTGAACGAATGGAAACAAGTGCGGTTAATTTCAATCAAGTGATATCAATATCTTCAAGATGACGTATCTTAATGAGATATTCGAATAATCAACCTATAAAGTACACTGCAAGGTGGTTGGGTAACGAGGTGCCTGAACTTTGTGAATAATAACATTGTCAAACGAAGTAGAACACTGGAAAGATTATTAATATCTTGTATGATGATTGTGGATGAATTTGAGTTTATAATTCACCACAGAAAATGGATCAAAATATGTGAGCATGTTCAAAAGTGTTTGACGTCATACAAAATGGCTGACTTCAGAAGTCATTCTACTTGTGAGCCCTTCTCTTTACGATTTTATTTACTTATTTTTTTGTTTGAATTACTTTTACTGCAGACTTATAGATGTTCTGATTTTTCGAACGAGACTTCTGCTAATTCTTAGTGACGTAATGCACAAGTACTGGAACTTTTATCAGTGTGAATGAAAATTATAGCAGTGAGTGCGTTAATTTGTAGACAAAAAATATAAATAAATATTTTTATTATTATTTAGTACTTGAAGACATAAAGCATGACGATTGTTAATCAAGAGCAGGACCTATCACAGATTAGACCGCTAATAGGGGAGGGGCCATACTAAACACATCTAAGTGTTATAAATCATAACAACAACATCTGCACAAAATAAACAGTATTACACTTCCCAAAATGACGGAGTCCGTATGCATAGTTATTAGGTAGTCTCGAGCCCCTGCTTGCCCCCCCCCCCTTCCTTGCTCACGCTACTAATGAAGACAGGTTCGTTTTAATTAGGAAAAACTTATTTCTGTCGTTATTGACTTTTTAAATTTCATTATAAGTATTATTAAAAAGTATAGATTTGACTAATACTGGGCCCTAATGTTGTCTTCTTGTTTGTGCAAATCGTGAAATGCCCTTTTTTTTACGCATATATGGAGGCCATGAGGATTTCACTGTCTGG